TGGTACACCCCCATCCGCAAGGAGTGGTACTACGAGGTCATCATCGTCAAGCTGGAGGTCAACGGGCAGGACCTGAACATGGACTGCAAAGAGGTGAGCGGGCAGTGGTGGACCTGCCCCACGGGCACTGGAGGCACCCACCACTGGTCAGAGGAGGCTGGGAGGGGAGTGGGCTGGGGTTCTGCACCTCGGTCACTCCTCCTCTTCTGCCCCCCAGTACAACTACGACAAGAGCATTGTGGACAGCGGGACCACCAACCTCAGGCTGCCGAAGAAGGTGTTTGAGGCTGCGGTGAAATCCATCAAAACAGCATCTTCGGTCAGTGGAACCCTTCCCTTCCCCACAGCCCAGGGTGGGGCTGTGAGCAGTGTGGTTGCCCCTCAGCAGCCTGGCATCTCTGCTGCCTGCCCAGCTCAGCCCCGCTCACCTTCCCCTTCCCTCTGGCAGACGGAGAAGTTTCCAGACGGCTTCTGGCTGGGGGAGCAGCTGGTTTGCTGGCAGGTCGGCACCACCCCCTGGCACATCTTCCCCGTCCTGTCCCTCTACCTGATGGGAGAGGCCACCAACCAATCCTTCCGGATCACCATCCTGCCCCAGGTGAGTGTTGGCCTGGCCAGACCCTGCCCTGGCTGGAGAGGGCAGCGCAGGCAGGGCCACACTGGGTAGGCACAGCTGCCTCCCTTGCCCCTTCCCTGACGGCTGCTCTCCCCCTGCAGCAATACCTGCGCCCGGTGGAGGACGTGGCCACCTCTCAGGATGACTGCTACAAGTTCGCCATCTCCCAGTCCTCCACCGGCACCGTCATGGGCGCCGTCATCATGGAGGGCTTCTACGTGGTGTTCGACCGCGCCCGCAAGCGCATCGGCTTCGCCGTCAGCGCCTGCCACGGTGAGCTGGGCCCGCGGGGAGGGGGGGGATCAGGGGGAGTGGGTGGGCAGTGACCAGACCCTGCCTCCCCCACCCCACACTCACAGTGCACGACGAGTTCCGGACGGCCGCGGTGGACGGGCCCTACCTGCACTCCAACATGGAGGACTGCGGCTACAACATCCCGCAGACGGACGAGTCCACCCTGATGACCATCGCCTACGTCATGGCGGCCATCTGCGCCCTCTTCATGCTGCCCCTCTGCCTCATGGTGTTCCAGTGGCGCTGCTTCCGCTGCCTGCGGCGCGACCACGACGACTTCGCCGACGACATCTCCTTGCTGAAGTGATGGCAGAGGCTGGCGCAGCCCCGGCCCCGCAGGTGAGGCAGCAGGGCAGGGGCCTTGCTCCGGGGGCTGGAGTGTGGCGGCAGCGTGGGGAGCTCAGGCCCCGTGTCCGGGGGCCTGGGGACTCGGTGTCCATCAGGGCCAGCAGCCAGGGGAGCCCCAGGCCCAGTCTCCATCCATCTGGGACCTGCAGCAAGAACGTGGCAGCTGGGGGGGAGTGCAGCAACCCCATCCCGGGAGCTGGGGGAGGCTTTTCTGCTCCAGCACCAGAACAGGACCAAGCTCTCCCACCCAGCCTTGCCTGGCTTGATGGAGTGACGCTGATGAGCCACCCCCTGCCTGTCCCCTTCCATCCCTGTGCATCCCTTTGCAGCTCACCCTGCCAGGAAGCTCCCAGCCCAGGCTCTCTTGTAGGGAGCTGTGCTGCAGCTGTGCCTCCCCTGTGACTCCCTGCACTGAGCCAGAATCCAGGCTCATCATGGAGCCATCCAGCTTCAGGCTTTTCAGAGACAGCCTGGGCTGCCCAGACAGGGCTTTCCCTCCTGCCCTGCTGACCGTACATCGCTCGCTTTGACATTTCCCCTGCATTTCCCTGCCTTCCCAAGCCGTACTCCTGCTGCCGCCAGCCCCAGGGTTCCCTGTGTCCTCCTGGGACAGGCAGGAGCACGTACCCATGAGTGTGCCCGAGAGTATCCGAGCGTGCCTGAGTGTGTGTGAGAAACAGCTGAGCACAGAGTGATGATCAAGGCAGGAAGAATCAAGCTCAGAGCAATGGATCAAGGCAGGAGCAATCAAACACAGTGATGGATCAAAGGAGAAGCAATCAAGCTTTTTTTTTGTAACATTTTTATTTTTATTAATATTCAATTAAATTTAATTTTAATTTTTTTTAAAATAACATATTATGTGAGGACCATGTGAAATC